ATCTGACGGGTAGCGGTTGGTTGTGGGGATGTTATTAGTCGGTTCAAAAAACAAAGCACTTTTTCATAATTTTTATCTCAGCTCCTTGCTAGAAGCCTCATTTTAATTTTGTAGAGATGTATTTTGTAGTCTAATAAAGTTGCCTATGTAAAAAAAGTACACATTGTCATAAGGAGAAGGATTTATATTAGAGCACTGATCTTGTTTCCGAATCACATTTTTGATATACTTGTATATTTACTTATTCGTGTAGTTATATATAACGAACTCCTTGATACAATATGTTACACTGAACAATGTCCTATAAGTTTTATATTTTCTTAAATGTTCAGTTAAGAGACATTCTTGGTGACATTTATACATTTTACGTTTTAATATGTTTAAAATCACCACAAAGGGTCGACAAACCATTTAGTGAATGAAATCATTTAGGCGTCCCAAACTCAGTGGAGTAAATACAATTTCGGAAATGAGTTTCATTTTTCATTTATATGTAAATATGCAAAGAGCTAAACATTTACCTTATATTATAAAACAACCAAAATATCTCGAAATTGTCAGTTTTTTTATCAGTGTCAAAGTATACAAGCGTTTATATATTTCTGTTAATGAAATAATACTCTATTCAATATACAATTCATTGTAATCAGTATTAGTTTCCTACATTGGAGAGTAACATTGTGTTGTATCTGTTTGCTTAGTCAGAAAAGCGTTTCGGACGCATGACATTTATAAAGTGTTGTTTTAATTTTTTACAGCACTGGGTCTATAACTCTGCTGGTAGACTATCAGTCTCCGAGGGTATCATCAGCTCAGTAGTCAGTACTTCGGTACTGACATGATTTATAACAAACCTTTATAAAATTGTCCGTTAATAAATTTTGAAATTATAAGAAACTAAGGTTTCAACTCCTTCAGGCAAAGTTGACCTATTTTTTTAGGTCCTTTTTGGTCATATAGCTCTTCAACTGTTTAGGTTATTATACATCTTTGGCTTTCAAATGTTTGGCTTTGTGCGTTCCTGGTGAAGGTAAAATCAGAAAAGCGATTCGGACGCATGACATTTATAACGTGCTGTTTTCATTTTTTTCATTAATATGTGTATGTATTGTATTACTTCATGTTGCACATTTGAAACTTGTCTTGTATTCATAAAGTGTTAGGTGCTCATTAAACTAGTCACGTACCATCAATCATCAAACAGTTCAAATACCTTCTCTGGATCTTTCGCATGGAACGCCATGACTGCCTTAAGTTGATGATCATCATTATATGCAGTGGTCACAGCATTATATGCAGTCGTGTCAGCATTATATGCAGTGGTCACAACATCATATGCAGTGGTCACAACATTATATGCAGTCGTGACAACATTATATGCAGTTGTCGGAACATTATATGCAATGGTTAAAACATTATATGCAGTTGTTAAAACATTATATGCAGTAGTCACAACATTATATGCAGTCGTGATAACATTATATCCAGTTGTCGGAACATTACTAGTATGCAGTGGGCACAACATTATACGTGTTTTTTTTATGAAGGTGATGATCAGGGATAGTGACGAAGGTGATGGTTGGTGATAGTGATGGTGTTGGTTCAAATTCGGTAAACTTCGTAAACTTTATCGGAAATTGCCGAATCCGGCCATAATTGCTAATGCCCAGCAAATAAAACGAAACAGTTATTGAAGGCCTATAATTTAGGCAATTCGAATGAAAACTGTATCAGAGAAACAATAACACCTGCTATATTGTCTGTTAATTGGACTGACATAAGTTTAGAAATTGGACAGACATAATTTTATAAATATATTCATAGTTATCATCTCTTTATCATCCTTTCGCAAAACGGAGTTCGGGAATGGATATAGCGTTAACTCCGTTTGTTCGTCCGTCTGTCTTAAGTTAAGTTTAAGCTTTGCGTTCAGGTCTAGAAAGAAACAAACTGCGAGTCAAAGAGGAATGATTTACTATTAGTGCAAACATCTTGGAAATCAAACGAATGTCCATGAAGAAAACGGGTCACCTCGACCTATATTTTACACATATTTAATTCTGGTTAAGTTTTGCATTAACATACAGAAACTAAACAACTACAAGTCATAGAGGAATTGTATCATCTCAGTGCTCACATCCTTGATAATTACAAAGAACCTTGAATAAAGTTGGGTCACCTCGACCTATATTTTACGCAGGAATGATTTTGATTAAATTTGTGTTAAGGTCCAGATGAAAGCAACTACAAGTAATAGAGGAATACTATTTGTTACTGCGCACTTCTTTGATGTTAATGAAGGTCCGCAAAAAATTTGGTCACCTCAACACACAGGCGCTAGGCTAACGTTTAATTATACATACTCTACAACAAAAGAAACTCGCCACTCGTTATTATGTCTCTTAATGGGTAACTATTATTCTAATGTGAATTCTTCTCGTTGTTGTTATTGGCGTTCTTATTCTTCTCATACACAAGCTTGTCTTGTTGCTATAGTCTGGGAATTTCAGTTATTTTTGCTAACAAAATTTTTTCCATATCTCATGTTAAGATCCTCGTCAGAAGTTGTAAAGTTTCATATCATTCCAAAATCTACCATTAAAAGTAAATTTCCCAAATAACGGAAAATTTACTTTTGATGGTAGATCTTGATTGTTTCTGTTAAAGACTTGGGGCTTCTTTCTTCTGTATATTTTTCACTTACGTGGTGAAAATTATCGTAACTTGTTGGATTTTTATATATTGCATAGTCCGAATTATATACTTAAAAAAGATTTTATTCTTAAAATAGTTATTTTGTACTAAAATTTGCTGTTCCATGTCCTTTTAAAACAATATTGCAAATCTTATATGTTTTAGTAAAATTTTATTTCAAATGACATCGTTGACCAGCATAAATTAATTTGTTTACAAAATACAATACATACCTGTCCTAAGTCAGGAATCTGATGTTCAGTAGTTGTCGTTTGTTGATGTGGTTCATAAGTGTTTCTCGTTTCTCGTTTTTTATATAGATTAGACCGTTGGTTTTCACGTTTGAATGGTTTTACACTAGTAATTTTTTGGGGCCCTTTATAGCTTACTGTTCGGTGTGAGCCAAGGCTCCGTGTTGAAGACCGTACTGTGACCTATAATGGTTTACTTTTATAAATTTTGACTTGGATGGAGAGTTGTCTCATTGGCACTCATACCACATCTTCTTATATCTATATATAGTTTACTTCGGAGAGATTTTTGGTTCTTCTTGAAGAATACTGGGTCATGATATATCTAAATTGAAGTCCCGGGTAATCTGAAGATGTTTGTTTGGGATGAAATGTTCAGAAATGCTTTTATGTTTTTAAATACCTAAAATATAAACATATTAAGCTATGAGCAGCATGATGATTCTGATCATTGAAATAAAGTTAAAAGACATTAAAAATTCATCTGGCGTGGAATAAGTTGGGGTAAATTGGTCCTTCTTCTTAATTTCCTTATTTCAAATCAGAGGTCTATATATTATATAGATAGCTGTCTATTGCCGACTGTGTGACTCCAGTGTTGTGTTGTTATCTTTGTCGTTGGGTTGCTGTCTCATTGATGCATATCCACACCTCCTTTTTTCTAATGAATATAATTTAATTTTGGATGTAACGCGTCTTCTGATTGGCTGACGTTGTTTTGTTTATCAGCTCATAGACAAGCTTGTCTTGTTGCTATAGTCTGGGGATTTCAGTTGAAATAAAGTTACATTTTCTATTCGAAATAACATAAAAAATGTGGTGCACACTTTAAAATAACCCGCTACGCGAGTTATTCAGTGTGCACCACATTTTTTATGTTGTTTCTTCATAGACAGAAAAAAATATTACAGTCATTCTGATTCCTTAAATGAAAGGAATGAGACATAGTACGTAGATTGGGTGGATCAACGATTTCATGTATGCAAAAAAAAATACTGTCCTAAGACTGAGACTCCGAGTAATTGTTTTAGTGTACAGTCATGACATCACATTGGACGTCGATTATATATAAGAGGGTAAATATATTAGACCTTGATTTTAGGATCGGACCTCGATTATAGGTTCCCGGTGGGCGTCGATGAGTCTTATATATATATATGAAATATGGCACTGAATATTGACTAAAGTGGCATATAGCTTTTGGTTGTTCAATAAGAAATAAACTCGAGGCATATAGTATACACACGCCATTTAATGTTTCATTATTTTTAATTACATTATGCCATGCGTATTTCTTTTTCTTAAGACGAATAGAACTATTTAATACATTCAAATCTTAGTTTCATCAAATCCTCGGAATGAACTATACCACTAAATGGATGAAATAATGTGTGTCCAATTTGTAACTTACGAAGTATACCGAATTTGAACTACCACCATCACTATCATCAATTATCACCTACATAAAAAAAACACGTATAATGTTGTGACCACTGCATATAATGTTCCGAAAACGGCATGTAATGTTATCACGACTGCTTATAATGTTGTGACCACTACATATAATGTTGTAACTACTGCATATAATGTTGTGACCACAGCATATAATGCTGGCACGACTGCATATTATCTTCCGACAACTGCATATAATGTTGTAACGATTGCATATAATGTTGTGACCACTGCATATGACGTTGTCACGACTGCATTTAATGTTGTGACTACTGCATATAATGATGATCATCAACATAAGGCATTCATGGCGTTCCATACTTTCGTCTGTAAATGTTTTCCTTTACATTAAAAGTTTATTTCGTAGAAGACTTTTGTTTTGGTGGCAGATGTTAAATATATTAATCAGAACTTGTCTAGACTCGAGGCGATTTAACGCTTGACATGCGACACGTGTTATTATTGAAGATCGTATGTTGACCTTAGGATGTATTTTTTTCATTTAGTTGTGTTGTGGACTCATTAACTTCCTTTTATTCATCTTTTTATATACAAACCATATCAATTTGTCAGAGCATTACAAGGAAAAGAAACAAGTATAAATAACTTTTCATTTTTATTTTTTTATAAACATGGTAATAAAAAATATAACAACTTACTGTATGACAATCATGTTTTCACTTAATTTGTCAGCAGTGAAAAGTAATGAACAAATTTATAGAGCACATACTAAGGTAGCAACCATTTGATTTTTAAAAGGAACGGGTGTAGAAAAAATCTTGGATTTTAGTTTACACGAATGAAGAAAACGTCAAGACATAGATCGACAGGAAAAAACATTCAAAGTGTAAGAGATGTTTTATATCAAGAAAGGAAATAAAAATAATCAATATCAACGAGACCGTCAATTGAAATCAAGGATAACTACGTTACACCTCTAAAAATCAACTGGTTTCTTTCTTAAGTACAAAAAATTAAATTTCATTGTCAATACATGTTCAGTAAATCAAATGCATGTTCGTATTAACATCAAAGAGCACCTCAAGGTCATGACTTTACAACCTATAAAACTCAATATAAAGAACAAAAATCTGCAAGTTATCAGCACTGAAGAAAATCTTATCATATCATAATTCATATGTGTAGTGTAGACTTCGCCCAGTTCTAAAAAATAATCAACTCCAATATATAAATGAACAACTCTGTCAACCAGAGGATTTAGGTGAATCCAAGTTGCATTTAATAAAATAATTGGATTTGTGATTATTTTAACAGGATCAATTTTTTGTTATTTTAAATAAAGTTTTAGTAATATCGCAGAAATCTTTTGTTTATTAAATTTCAATTTTACCCTTTTTCTGGATAATATCAACTGCAAATATAAACAAATAAAAAACACTGTACACAAGTCCCACCATTCTCTGTTTTAAATGTAGAACTCAATTCCAACATTTAAGTAATCCTCAAAATTAGAAGGCATTTTTAGGAAGAACAGTTTTTGTATTTATATATATAAAAAGGAATAAAATGAATGCACTACGTCATGAAGATAAAAAAAAAAACAATAGGGACAAGCTGACATCTATTACAAAACACAAATAATTTTTATTGCCCATATTTCAGCTGATTATCACAAATTATTTGATCAGACTGTTTTAAACAAGTTTCTATAATAATGTAATACAATGTGTCAACCAACAATAAGAACACGTTACTGACTAAATTAAGTACTTCTAATGCCCTGACAACCTTCACAGTTGTAATAAATATTATAAGACATATTTACAGATGTGATTCCGACATGGGAGATTCTGTGTGGTGATAACGACTGATATGATCTATTTGTCACATGTTATATCATACAATGTACAGCTGATATGAATGCTCAAAACTAATAAACGATGCCACTGAATAAAATTCGTGGATAAAAAAAATCGTTAGAGAAAGAAAATCCCATTATACAAATCGAACATTTTCAATTATTTTTGACAAGAAAAAAACTACAAAAATGTAAGCAATTGTTCCACATATCAAAATCATGCAATATTTGATATTTACCAAATCAATTGAAATCACGATAATTTAAACAAATTCCATTGTTTTCAATTATCATTTAATTTCAGATGTCATTGCATGTCGGTAATATAAATACTTTGCCTGTTAGCAAAATAACGTAAATAAGAAAAAAAATATCATATACATAAAAAAAAATGAATGCATCCCCTTTATCAAAAATGTCAAGTTTATTTTATATTGTCGGGTATTTTCTCTTTTAAAAACATAAAAAACAATGAATGTATTAAGTATCTTAACTTATTCTTTGGTTCACTCTGCTGAAATATACAAAAATAAAATAAAATTAGCACTATCATTACTACTACAAATCAATGTCAATACTGGTCAACAATTCAATGTCAATACTGGTCAACAATTCAATCATCTAAAATTATTATGGCTCCTCTTCCTGACGGATTTTCTGTTCCACCTGCAACATAAAACAATCAATTATTTTGAGACAAAAAAAAAACCTGATACAACAATACAGAATTTTTTGGTGTCAAGGCTTCAAAAATTAAGTCCTTTTATCAATCATTAAATTTTTTTTTTTATTTAATTTGTAGGTTTATTGAACTCTGGCTTACTACGGAAGCCTTTTAGGGCCATGCTAATTGACTTTTTCCAATTTGATATAACAAATTATCAATTTGATATAACAAATTATCAATTTTATATAAAATATTATCAATTTGATATAACAGATTATCAATTTGATTTCACAAATTATCAATCTGATATAACAAATTATTAATTTGATATTACAGATTATCAATTTGATATAACAAATTATGATAATTTGAAATATCAATTTAATCAATTTGATATATCAAAATGTAAATTTGATATATCAAATTACTTATAAATGAATAATCTGTTATATCAAACTAATAATTTGTTATATCAAATTAGAAAAAGTAAATTAGCATGACCCTAAAAGGCTTCCGTACTTTCAAAGTATCTCAGTTTATTTTTATTTCCCAAATCTTTTGTCTTTCTGTAATTACCTGGTCCAATCTGAATGTACCAATCCGTGTTCCCGTTTGTAAATTATTGATACAAAACAACAGAGCATACGATGTATGAAAACAGTAAATTTGTAACAAAATCACACAATTTAAAAGAGAGCGGGACATTCAAACTATTATACTATTATCACATTTCACTACTTTCTTACTGGCAATGTGTCAAAAACAAAAAGTGTAACCAACCTCTTGTTCTGATACGGTAACGCAGCAGATATCATGTTTAGTACAGCGTATTAATTGTCTTTGTATGCTTTTCACTAACCCCCGGTCCATAAATCTCGCAAAAGTGATAATCATAATCAGACTGGGTCAAACATTTTCTGAACTGCCGAGTGTGATGATGCATCATAATCTTATATGTCTATCAATCAATTACAAAAATTTGAAAAGAATAGTTAATTTACAGCTTTTCTCGTTTTGGTTTGACAAAAAGATTTAAATGATGATCTAAGGTACATACACTATTCTTCTTCAGAACAGGAGACCTACGCCAATTCCTCAAATGAATGTGATCCGGTGGGATACACCAGAAAAAAATCTAGCGACAATAACGGTCATTGTTATCAGCAGCTTACCATTTTAATTGTGAAAACCAAAAAATCCCAGTAATGAAAGTAAAGAAAAATATAATGTCAATGTTAAAACGCAAAAACCAACCTGTTGTCATTTCTTGTTGATGCATTAACCTTTGAACTGTGTCTTCCAAGCGCTTGCTCGACTTTGCTGGTGGTCCAGAAATTGGTGTACTACTTGGTCGCTTATTTGATTGTTGCATTTCACTCATTGTCAATGGCATTGCTGGGTCGTGTTGAATAGGATTCACGGGAGCGCTTTCATTATCAGCTTGAGACATTGTTTTATGTGGACCACCGTTGCCCGTTTTCTCTTTAAACACATATGACAACTGCGGAAAAAATTTTTCCAAGTCTTCAAAATCAATCATTTTGTTACACTTGAGCACCGTTACGGGTAAACTGTAATAATGAATGAAGGCTTTTTCCTCGTCATCGGTACACGTCATTAGAGGAACTTTTAACACGTTTTCTAATGCGTACAGAAATTCATTTACACTACATCCACTGAAATACAGCTTACAAACAGCTTCTACTAAACAAAATTTACCGCCTCTCCCTGGACTGTTCAAGTGCATACACGAGATACTTTTACCACCTAACCACACACCTTTAATACTCTCAACAAGGAACTGATTTATACTTTTCTCTGGTCCCTTGTTTTCCTGATTGTTCGGACCTGAAGTAATATGACGTGGAAAATTACTATCACCATTAACAACGGAATCATTCGTATCATTTCGTGTTCTATCCGTATTCTGAACATGTTGTCTTAGAACATTCTTTTGATTGTTATTCAAATTAATTTGCCTTTGAGGAGGCTGATTTGTAACATTTGGGTTGTAACCGTTTGGAATGTGTCTTTGAATTGTCTGTGATATGTTTTGTGGTACAGCTTGTCTAATGTTTCCATTTTGGTGAGAGACCATTGATTGCAAAGCGTTCATTGGTCCTTGGTGTGGTCCCGACATTGACGGAGGAGGTGGCATATGATGTCTCCCCCCTGTTGATGATTGAGGTGCTCTCATGTTTGACTGATTTGATGGTCGTACATTTGGAATTGTTTGTGGTTTTGATGTTGGATGACGTTGCGACATCATGTGATTATTATTTGGCATTGCAGGTCTAACGTTTGGTCTCATGTTTTGCGCCATAAATTGTCCCCGGTTTTGCATGAAATTTGCCATAGGGTTCGGAAACATCATATTGTGACCGGGTGGCATTTGACCAGGTGGCATTTGTCCCGGTGGCATTTGGCCTGGTGGCATATTGTTATTAGGTGGTTTGTTTGCTGGCATTGGTATGCCTTGTGGTTGTGAAGGAGGTCCATGATAAGATCCTGGTGATAGCTGGGGTCTCATTTGTTGATAATGATTTGGTGATGTCAATCTGTTGGGTGATTTTGGTTGTGGTGTAGAACTACCACTTCCATTACTGTGTGTTCTTACTGGTGACTGGCTTGGTCGTCGTTCAGGCGTAGGGTTTCTGCTTCCATGGACAGGCTGGTTAGGCATCTGTCCGTTGACGTATGGGGGCGGTGGTCCCATGCCAGGATACATATGATGCTGTTGCTGTGGATTTACGGTTACATTCGGAGGTCCATACTGCATTGCGTACATATTGTATGGATGCCTGGTGTACGAAAACATCATTCTAGGGTCCATAAAAGCAGGGTGCATTTGGTGGGGAGGGTACTGACTTGGAACCATATCATGTACTGGGGATTTGGAAGTGGTTTGTTGTTCTGGTTTAGGCGTTGGTTCGATGGGTTTCTGGGTCGTTTCATTGTTATTGTTGCTCGGCAACTCTATATATTGTGCGTGTTGTAACGGATTTTCCATCGGAAGCTCCATTATTTTAATTTTACAACTTTTCATAATTTCACACAAGGAGATAATCCGAGTAGTTTTAGAAAATGAAAAATTAAATCCTGCTATTTTACAAGCTTTATTCAGCAAGTCACATTCGTCTGTATCCGGTAAGACGCCGGTTCCTGGAATATTTAATGCAGCTGCATATTTCATAACAGACAATGGAACGAATTTATCAGCCTGTCTTTTAACGTATGGTGAGACCGTATTGTTAACTTGTAGCCAGCCACATTCCGATCCTGTTGACGCTTTATTATCATCCTCGTTAGCTGCCTTACCATTCTCAGGGAATGTCTTTTTCACTAAGTTATAAAATTCTACAAAATCAGACAATAATACTATAAGGTCTTTGATAGAAAACAGTTTTGTGCCGAATTCTCCACCACAGTGAACTTGATTGATCTCGTTAAGTAGTTTACATTCATGTGGGGTAATAAAGAAACTAGTCAGAGGTTGATGTTTCCCTAAATCATCGGGATAGGAATTTGGATATTTATTCAATAGTTTTTGTTCCACTATCCTTACTGAAACAAACATTTTGTCTTTCCGGAATATATACGGAACATCAACACCATCTATTGATGTCCAACCGAAGATTCCTTTGACACTTGAGAAATCGATTTGATTTTCGGAAACAGTTTCTTCTGGTTTAGAAGTCTGTACATTATTTGGCATCAACATGGAAGAGTTTTGTACAGGGTAAGTTGAAGTGTTTTGCACGGGGAAAGTTGAAGTGTTTTGTACGGGGTAAGTACCCGGTGCTGGGAAGATCGGAGGAGGAGGCTGTTGATGTTGTTGCTGTGCATACTGCTGAGTTTGAAGTCCGGCAACATATTGTCCACTCCTGTGATACTCCGTGTCAACTCTTTCTTCTTTGACCTGCATCGTCATTTTACTGAAATAAAAATATGATTATAGAACATGACATGAAAGCAATATAATTTATATACAAGTGTTTTTCTGTACACGTTATGTTATGTTATTTTAATTACCTTTTATGATGATTGTATCGTTTTATTTAATGTTAACAGCATTTCACCATTTAGAATATCAACTCTGGGGGCACCTGTATCCATGCCCATATGAAAAGAAAGCGGTACGAAGATTGTGATTTGCACAGGATCGGACAATAATTTGAATTCAGTCTCAAGTGCATTACACGTTTGATGTAAAAATGGATTGCAAGTTAATTTCACGCTGTACTATACGTAACCCCTTTAAAAATTTCTTTTCTTTTAATTTACATTACAGGTCATCGGTCATAACAATGATGTTTGAAGGTGTGATTTTATAGTATCGAGTTGGCAATTTGTCATTTGAAACACACACATCAGATCGACTTCGCATGTTTGCTACTTTCCCATTTCCTTTTTTCTTCCGTTGCATAAACCGATATAAATATACGCAGTAAGAATTAAATTGTACACATGCACATATTCATAAAGGAAAAGTTGAAAAAATGAGTGAAATTTGAATATGATTAGATTTTAACGTTATGCAGCAAGGGGTGGTCGTGTTTTGTAGCAATTGGGATCACCAACCATAATTCTTGGAATTTATTTTGTTATTTTAAGTTTCTATTTGTAAGTTTTTTTTTGGGGTAAAAAAAATCATCATTAAAAGGCAATAACTCCAACAAGGAATTATATAAAGGAATCCGATCGTTACTAACATTCGTGTATCACCTGACTAAACTGATTGAAATAGCTATCAATTATATCACTTAAAAAAGAAATTATGTTGTAGAGAAGTGACAAAAGTCAGAAGAGTGAAATGTCGCTAATTTAGATAATGCTTTGCATAAAAAAAATATGGCAGAGGATATTTTTCGGAGCACCTGAGATCACCCTCGGTTTTTGGTGGGGTTCGTGTTGCTAAGTAGATATAAGAAGATGTGGTATGAGTGCCAATGAGACAACTCTCCATCCAAGTCACAATTTGTAAAAGTAAACCATTATAGGTCTAAGTACGGTCTTCAACACGGAGGCTTGGCTCACACCGAACAGCAAGTTATAAAGGGCTCCAAAAATGAGAAGTGTAAAACCATTAAAACAGGAAAACCAACGGTCTAATCTAATATAAAAAACGAGAAACACTGGTGAACCACATCAACAAACGACAACCACTGGTTCCTGACTTAGGACAGGTGCAAACAAATGCAGTAGGTTATCACGTTTTAATAGGCGCAACCTTCACCATAACTGAAACAATAGTGTAACATCACAACATAGAAAGACACACTATAAAATATCAATTGAAATGGCTTAACTCAATCAAAAGACATATTAACAAAAATAAGTGACCATACACTGAACGAATAAATTTGATCTAGTGTTTAGTTTTCTATGCTGTGTTTTGTTAACGGTTGTTTATCTTTTAATCGTTTTTCGTTTCAAAGTTTGCCATGACATTGTCGGTTTGGTTTCAACTTATGAGTTCGACTATCACTTTGGTATCTTCCGCTTCTCTTTTATTCTTTAAATCTATATTTGGTAAGATCGAAAATTGTCTCAAAATGTTGGAAAAAGTTATGAATTTATAAATCATTTAAATTTGGAAAAGAATTATATTTGTCATTGAATATTTCATACAGATAAAGAAACTTAGTAGGTTTGCAGATTATCGCGGTTGAATATTGTTGATATAAATGAAAAAGTAATGGTATGATTGAGAATGCAGATTGGCGTAATTGTATATCTTAGATTGGAGATATTTGATATGATATTATGTAATATAGTAGTTTATGCTCGTAAATTGTTTGTTTGGGTTTGTGTATATGTTTTGTATGCATTGAACTATGAATTACAAGGGTTAGACTCGAATGAAATATTAAATCGAAATCTAGATTTTTCTTTGTCTGATTGAATAATTTTATTTTCGATTGCAAAACGCTCAGGCGCAGTGGCATACTAGTTTTCTTTTCCATCTATTTCCAGTATTGGCTTACGGGTTTGTGGAAAGTCGGTGCATTTGTCAAACGGAATTTGATAAGGTTCAAAAGATAGTTCAAGATAAGTTTCCTAAGGACTAGCCAAATATTTTAGTACAGTTTTGGAATTATTCATGACGGACGTTGACTGATGACTTTAAAAGCTTATGTATCAATCTAGAGAAGCAAAAAAAAAAAAAAACAACAAAAAAAAACAGAAAATTGAAACACTGAGTCATGAGTTTGAAGCATTTATATCATCTTGCGAGTGCAGGTCGTGATTTCGATTCACAGACGGGTCAAAAATAGACTTTAAAATTTGGATTCCGCTTGTTTTCCGCTAAGCATGCCACATTTAGGAACAAAAGCAAAGACTAGTCGAGTCACAGTCCAAATAATGTGTCCGGATAAGGAGAAATGGCTTCCTGTGGACTGTTATATTGTTAACTATATTAAAATAAGAAGATTTGGTATGATTACCAATGAGACAATTGTATATATCCATCGAAGACCAAATGACATAGATGTAAGCAACTATTTTTCATCATAAGGTCTTCAACAATGAGCATACCGTATAGTAAGCTATAAAAGGTCCCGACATGACAAAACGTAAAACAATTCAAACGAGAAAACCAACGACCTGATTTATGTACAATACACAAACGACAAACAATTAGACAGCGACCAACGACAACCACTGAATGCCCCTGACTTTGGACACAGAATGTGTGTGAGCGCTTAACCCTCCCCTAACCTGGGACAGTGGTGTACCACAGCACAACATAACAGACTAAAATGTAATGAACAAGTCTAAAGACACAAAGTACCGATCTAACAGTGCTCGCAGTTTTTTGAAAGCTACTTCAAAGCCAATCACAAATACGGCTCAGCGTATCGTTTAAGTATATAGCAGGTTTCATAATTATTTATATCACATCGATGTGTTCTCTTAAATGCATGATATATTTGTCACTGGACGTACATCACCAACCCATCATCATTATCAACTTCATTATCTTGCAATTTTTCAGAAGATAAACATTGTGTTTACCATGCATGATTACCTGTGTTATATCTTACCCTAAGGGGTTATAAAAAAAACTACCTTTAGCACATACTTACAACTTCTCGTCCAATCAAATTGCGTGAATTTGCCTTCTAATTTTCATAGTGCATACTCTTTCCGTGTACAAAGTAACTACGCATGAATGACCACAAGGGTAAGATTTCATTGTATCGTAATCAAGATATTAAAACAAAAATTGCCACTGGCTATTTTGAAATAACATGCTGTCTTCCAAATTAAATTAAATAGTTTTGTAATTAGTTTTCATTTTGATTTTTAAATATCCTGCTATTTAAATCTTTGGATAAAAAAAGTTTTTGACAATTGCAAGTTTTTTTCATTTAAATAAAGAGTAACACATATGGTTCTTTATACCTTGATTAGAGTACAACACTATCTTAAAATTGTGATATTAAATTTATCATCCATGCTATTACTTTGTACACAAAAAAAAGTGTGTACTATGAAACATTGTGAAGGAAAATTAAGGCAACTTGGTGATGTTCGTTTTTAACTGTTTTGGGAAAATTGATCTATTTCGTTATGAATTGATTGATTGATTCTTGGTTGCTTAATGTCCAGTGGCACATATTTCATGCATGCTCAGATCGATGTCATGAATTGAAAAACCCTGATAATGTCTCAAGAAAATGTGCCACCTACATATATATATATACATATTCTGATAAATATTTTAGATTTTACTTTGAAAAAAAACCCACAAAAAACACAAAACTATAATCTTTGATCTATTGGTAGCAAGTTGCTTTTTAATGCCTATTCGCTAGACTATCTATGGGGACAAACTATCAATATGTTTCAAATTTATTATTATAGCTTTAGTTTTACTGTGAAATTGAAAAATGTTTTCAAAACATGTAAAGCTTCCACTGCAATTTAATTATTGCCTGCTTTTGGTCAATTTATTTTGTCATCTTACCATGTAAAAAGTACATGGATAGTAAAATACCGCTTTATATCTATATACATACTTACACCAGCAGCTACCATCTTTTCATTCTAGAGTCAAGGGCCTTTTGAAATCACATATCTTACAATGATACTAGTGAGTAGATTTACAAAACATAAAACTTCGTTAATGAGCTCTGTTTTACAAACACCTGAGATATAAGTAGTCAGTCAAAATAAACTATCAATAGACCAATTAAAAGATTACTTGAGTTGTAAATATGTGCTTAATTGGATAGTCTATGAAAAGGTATATACTATGAAATTAAGTGCTCGGAGCAAGCCCCTCGCTCTAAATTTCATAGTATATTCCTTTTTATAGACTAACCTAGACATATCAAATTACAAATGAACTTTAATCTTAATTGATCATCTGCTGTCTACATCAATCAATCGTGAAATGTGAACTCAGATCGAGGTTATAATTATTTGGTAATTTTATTGTTAAATAAATGTGTAATAATGTTTATCTTTATGAGTACAGTTTACGATCACTACTTTATTTTGGATTTAAATAAACTTACTGTACAATATTCGATAATGTACTATATGGTATCTTATCTGGTATATTCTCTTATCTGGCTTTATAGATTGAAGGTATATAATCTTATCTTTATAATTTAAACTTCGTCAGACTCCAATGTAATCATCCAATAACAGCTAGAGGTTGTCTAAAGATTAACTCTCGAATCTAATGTTTAACCAGTGTATTTTTTACCATATAATCTATAGGGGTAATTAAGTTCAAGTTAAATCTCTTAATAAAAGACTTTTTAACGATAATACCCCATGGTGTATATGCTATAATACCAAATAATAATAATAAACCGTACAAGTTACAAAAATAAATATGTCATTTGCAACCACTTGAGTTTTATGAAGCCGAATAAACCCTTCTTACGTATAAATGTATAACATTACATTGTAAGCGATGCATCTTTCTAATGTGACTTGCAACTATCGGAGTCCTAACGTGCAGTACGAACTATACACAGCTTGTATATCATCTGCATTCGTATCAATCTTTTAATAAGGGAGCTACCATTTGATTTTTATGGAGGGGCTAGGATGAAAAATTTTGTCCTGCATTTTTTTTCAGCTGTAATCTCTGTCCTGCCTTCTTATTTTTCACTCTATTCGGTCCTGCCTTTTTTTTTAAGTTTATCCTGACTTTTTTTTACCCAAATTGTCGTCCTGATTTTTTTTTTTTTTTTGCAATTGTCTCATCCTGCCTTTTTTTTTACTCAAAACTCCTGTCCTGCCTATTTTTTTCAAATTTCATCCTAGCCCCCCATAAAAATCAAATGGTAGCTCCCTAAATCTTAACAAAGTGAATATCAGATATCAACATAATAATATACAGAAGTATGGAGAAATAAACTCGGTGTTTCGCAAATTTTGTGACAAACTAAGGTGTAATTTGCAGCTTAATGTCATGCGGCAAATATGTCATACTCTTTTAGAAAACTTTGTTTTACGTTCAGTGGCGAATATTTTATGAAAACATAAAACGGCTTATGTCTCTAATCGTCCCAACTAAGTTCATAGTATATTTCACATATCAGCTTAATGGCTGACAACATAGAAGGAATTGTCCTTGTAGAAAATGTTCTTGGATGAAAAAGAGTCAACAGAAACGAAACTCAGAAGAAATCTGCATTTGCTTATTACAAAAATGTACACAAATAAGTTTTGTATTCACTACAAGTACAATTCTATCTGTAATAAACATTTGTCCTTTTAAGAATACACCATACATTTTATTTGGACAGAGGGAACAACGATATAACTTTGATACTAGTCCCTCTTCACAAGATAAGGTGGTCATTTTTTTTTTCAATTTATTTTAGGCGAACAGCAATTTTCAAATTTATGACGAACAGACAACAGACATAACACAATAGATGATCATCCCCATTAATGTACATTATGTTATCTATATGATAATTTGCTTATATATATAGATAACAGGTGTGAATGAAAATGATTCAATATAAAACAAACAATTTTATACGAATCGTGTGATATCTATTTCATGGTTTATGAAATGTTACGGTCAATTTATCGGGTCTTATTTTACTTCGCTTCCTACAAAAAAAAACCCACTTATGATATAACTTTAGGACTTATACATCCCACTTCTTAAACGACACTCTGAACCAACGATGATGTATAAACATGTAGTTTATATATTTTATCTAGGAAGTTACAAAGAGTCCGTACATTTGTAAAGGAAATGTTTAATACGATAATTAGCACATCTATAGTGCCGGGTTCTCTGCAAGTAAAAGAATCCTGTCAACAACTATACTAGGGGTCAGTAGAAGGTCGGTTGCAAATTCAAATTTCTCACGGCCCTTATCCAACATACCATTATTTTCTCACGGGCCCTATCCAACATACCATTATTTTCTCACGGCCCCTATCCAACATACCATTATTTTCTCACGGCCCCTATCGAACATACTATTATTTTCTCACGGCCCCTATCCAACATACCATTATTTTCTCACGGCCCTATCGAACATACCATTATTTTCTCACGGCCCCTATCCAACATACCATTATTTATTCACGGCCCTTATCCAACATACCATCATTTTCTCACGGGCCCTATCCAACATACCATTATTTTCTCACGGGCCCTATCCAACATACCATTATTTTCTCACGGCCCCTATCCAACATACCATTATTTATTCACGGCCCCTATCGAACATACCATTATTTTCTCACGGCCCTATCCAACATACCATTATTTTCTCACGGCCCCTACCCAACATACCATTATTTATTCACGGCCCCTATCGAACATACCATTATTTTCTCACGGCCCTATCCAACATACCATTATTTTCTCACAGCCCCTATCCAACATACCATTATATATTCACGGCCCCTATCGAACATACCATTATATATTCACGACCCCTATCGAACATACCATTATTTTCTCACGGCCCCTATCCAACATACCATTATTTTCCTGTGGCGGTCCAAATTACCCTCCCTTCAATTCGGTCGCCAAAATTTACAGTCTGCCTGTCTGATTTATTGTTTATTGTATCTCCTGAATATGGCATGAACAATTTGAAACTGGACACAAGCAACCGGTAACCAATCAATTACACTTGTTTCGTGTCTAAGAAATATTAATTTCACCTAAGAGTTACTAAGACAGTACAAATATACGACACCCACGATATATATCAATACAATTTCAAAATATTGAGAATACATGAAATATTTGCAACTGGACGTAAACTACATCAAACGGCAATCAATCCAGCACACTGGTTTCGTGTTGGTTCAGTATTCAATTTCTTCTGAGAATACAGAACAAATAAACGATAGACCCGTGATTTTAATCCATTTTCCAGATCCGACCTTAACCTAACTGTCATGACATGTGTTTGGGGAAACTACCAATAAATGTGCGAGTTACGTCAGTTCAAAGATACAACCTGGTCATTGTTTCAAAATGTGTATCGCCTGTGACCTTGGTCATTATCACGCAATGTTTATAAACATACATTTTGGCTTATTTCAAATCGACAACATAACATTTATATACACAAAAGTCATACAATCGACACATTCAAATAACAGTAAAAATTTCAAACTAACGGCCCTAGAGAGTCTTTGTCGCGCACCTAGGTCTATGTGTAATGGACACAATGAACACTCTCCAACATTATAGACTATAATATATTCATTACTTAAATCCTTTTTTTGTCAATCTTGTAAAACTGATCATTTGTTTGGTTCACAGTTTCTCTCTGTCTTCCTAAGTTGTTTTTTTTCAAAACACATAAAAGTGTAAAAAATATCATTTAAGGGCAAAAAATCCTTAAGGAAGACAACTGACAATTTCATTTATGCTGTTTTATTTGCAGATATTGTCTTGCTGATCAAATTTGCTTTTAAGGGTTTTATCTATCTAAAATAGTTTCCAAGATAGCAGGAAAAAACACCAAAAAATGTCATTTAAGGGCAGTAACTCCTATAAGAAGTCAACTGGCGATTTCAGTAATATTAACTTATCATCAAACTAGTCTTGCTGATATTTTTTTTTTAAAGTTGTTATCTGTCTATAATAGCTTTCAAGACAGTAGGCAAAAACGTAAAAAATGGTAAAAATTGTCATTAAAGGGTAATAACTCCAATAAAGATTCGACTGACGATTTCGGCCATGTTTGACTTACTTGAAGATCTGGTCTTGCTGATCATTTTTGCTCATTTAAATTTTATTCTATAATAGTTTTGAAGATCTTAGACAATAACAAAATAATTGTTGGTAAAATTCGTCATTTTCGGGCAATAACACCTGTAAAAAGTCGTCTGACACTTTTGGTGTAAAAACACAGGAGGTAAATCTCAACATTATGAACATTTTTGCTCGTGTCAGATTTTCTCTAACTAAAGCGGTTTTCAAGAGAATAGACAAAAATTGCATTTTACCACTTAATTAATTTTGGGCATGTCGCCCATGTTGGTTGGTAGACGGGGTCATCTGACACATTTTAAACTAGATACCCCAATGATGGTTGTGGCCAATTTTGTTAAGGTTTGGCACAGTAGTTTCAGAGAAGAGAACTTTTGTAAAAGTTAACGGACGACGGACGACAGACGCCAAATTATAATAATGTTTATAAGCATAGTTTTAAATCAATATTTTATAACAGGATTAAACGAAGTAATATGAAAAACTTCAATTAAAATAAAGTAGATGTTAAAACATATCTATAGGACTTTCAGAGGAAAAAAAAATTACAATAGCTAATAGCGGTTAAGACTAGAAATGACAATTCAAGCAGTCAAATATATTTGTTGGTTTTTTTTTTTGTTATTTTTTATTATCCGTTTGTTTTTTGCGGTTTGTTTGTTTGGTTTTTACGATTTGCTTGTTGGTTTTTGGTCATTTTTTTTGTGTTGTGTTGTGTTGTTTTGTTTTGTAGTTGTTGATGGTTTTTTTATGTATTATTTTGTGATGATTTGAATTTTCTATTTCTGTTTGTTTGTTATCTGTATATACATGATATGCAAATTCATTTATCCATACTTTGGCGATTTCCAAATCAATACTCATCATATAACAAATGGTTGCAAGACGTCTATTGTTTAACAGAACTGGGTGTTTGACCCCTTCACTGATTGGATACATTTCGTTTGCTAGGAAAAACGACAGCTCGGCGTCTGTGACATCACAATGCCCAAATATGACGTCATTCGATATATTGCATAACGCTCAGATGACGTTAAATCGGAGACCAATTGAAAAACATATTATACAGTAAATGATTATCTTCGAAAACAGTTGCTTGCATCAATTTAAAATATGGAGATATGTGTTCCTCTGGCACAATCGATGGGGACACATGTGTCCCTCCTACGGCAATTGATTAAAAGGGTAAAAAAAGATAGCTTTTGACTGTTATTGATTGAATTTTCCTAAAATCTCGACAATACTTATCTTCCTTTTCTCAAATGCTGACATTTTTACGCAAATCTAATTATAATATAATATAGATAGGTGAATTCGATATACTTGATATAACAATATTCCGACGGGTAAGCGAGTTATGATAGATCTGAATTTTAACCATATTGTTTTACGAGTGATGTAGTTGTCTGATGGAAACGTCTTTCTAACAATCAACGTAATTTGGACTCTGGTGGATAGTTGTAAGTCTCATTGGCAATCATACCACATCTTCTTATTTCTACATGTTAAAAGAAATGTCTTACATAATTTATGAACTCTTCAGGAATCGTCAAAGTTTCTGTCATTGAGGTGTCTTCATTTTCGATTCTGAAAAAGAAAAAAATACAAAAATAGTACGAAACATCGCAACGGTCATTATCGTAATTAAATAAAGAAATTATTAAAGCTTTCAAAATTTATAAAATATTAAAAACATTGTAGGCCTGTGTATATGCCTAAATGTTCAATAAATATAAATAATATATCTGTCTGTTCTGTTACCAAAAAAAAATCTGGATAAGGAAAGCACTCTCAATTTTTCGTAACACTGCGATAGTTCAAACTCACAAATAAAAGATTCAGAAACAATAGCTTATGAAGATTTACTATATCATAAATCATCATCACATCTTTTCGATTTTCACCGGTCTGTTATCATTTATGCATGCTCACCTGACGTCATAAATATAATGACGTCATATATCATATTGATGTGATATCACAATAACTTAAGTTAAATTTAAACATCAAACGTCTGATCGGTCATAATTAAGCTCCTATAAAAACTGCGTAATAATCAAGCCAGGGCGTACTTCAACTGTTTATAGTATAGTCTAGCTTATAATAACACGCTTGAACAGTCCGTTCATGTCCATCCATGCGACGTCGAATAAAAATAATGTTGACGTAATGCCACTATCTACTATCAGTTCATCAAAACTCAACATGTTCATGCGCAGTTAAATTTACACATACATGTGTTTATAAAAAAATATCCATTGTTAACATTATCCGGTCATAAATCTATCGACGCAAAATCACCAATAAAACATGTTACACTTCCCCTGAATATTTACCTCTGTTTATAAATTAACGAGTTGTACACAATTTATCCCACTGTACAAATATTTTAAGTATTGATCCATTTTTCCTATCGTGTGAGTCCTGTGAACACATTCCCAATCATCTCATTTTGTGACTAATAACTGCCGAAATTAATAACTCATGTCCAATCACCGTGAGTTGCCATTGGAAACCATTTAATAACCTTAGCTTCAGGCTGATATCCTGTCCTTTGACATGCTAATCATGACAGCTGAACAATCTCAAATCCTGGCAGACAGCCAAGTCTACTTAATTAATGTTATCTCGACAAGTTTATTCGTCGAAAAGTGTGCAAATTTTACTAGCAAATTTTTCATGATAAATTGAGTGATGTCTCATTTATTTTTTGTAATCGAACAATAATTCATAATATGAACGTTCGACGGAAATATATTGTGAATATGAATAATTAGAGTCCCCTTCAACAGCCGACATTTATATTTAAATACCACCTTTTTCTGCATGGCTTAGTTTATTCCTGCAAACAAAAGGTTTATTATAGTCTGTGTATAATAAGATTTGGCACGAGGCCCATAACGCTATTCATTCAAACAAGAAGTACGAAATTAAACAATTGATTGGCATTTCTATAGTGTAATCAATATAAGCTGAAGGCACAGGCAATAACAATTCATACAACCAGTTTACCTGTGGCGAATTCTCGGGACTTAGAGTGACTGATTATATCATCTACTTAAATAGAACACAGGTAAACATTCGTACATTTGTACAATTAATCACCAGACACACCTGCGACCTTGTTCATGAAATGTAATATTTTGACGACGACACATAAAAAACAGACTTAGACTGACAATCGTTTTTCAATTATATCATCAACATTTATAAAAATAGCAGACGATAAAGTAACAGCTGCAGCAGACGATATTTCTATGAACAGCTGTGCATGTTACCACAGGAACGATCCCGTAGGCACTCACAGATAATGTTATCATTTCATTTTATCTGTAGGCTGAAACTATTACTCAATACTGTCAATAACTGTAACGACGTTTCCATAGAGACAAATGCGTCATGTTATCCGGATTAATGTTAAGCCTTAGTAATCCGGATCAGTATATCAAAAGGATTTCCCGGATAGTCCGAGGATAAAACAAACAAACAAGTTATAAACATAATAAAAAACGAAATAAAAGATTAATGTTATGCATGACTAAAATTTATATATCCCTTTGAACGGAAATGCCATATTATATCAAAAACAGTAAACGGATATCCGACATTGTGATTCAGGATGAGAAGTCTTAATGATATCTTGTACATAGTACTTAGAAATTATATATAGATCTATAAATCCATATATTTTGCGAATAAAAGAAACGCATGTTATTTATGACAACCTTATGGGTAGAAAGAAGATACGTTTAAAAGCAATTATAGCTCTCTGAAATCCAACTGGAATGTATTTTAAAATTTTAAATAAAGGCGTCAAAAGAGAGGCAAAAGATACCAAAGGGACGTTCAAACTCATCAGTCGCAAATAAACTGACAACGCCATGGCAAAATAAAAGACAAAAAGACCAAAAGACAAACAATAGATATAAGAAGATACAATACACAACATATAAAACCATAAAAGCGGAGCAACACGAACCCCACAAAAAACTGAGGATGATCTCAGATGCTCCTGAAGGGTCAAGAGATTGATGGAATACACTTACGTTTCATATTTTAAACCTGCATGAGTTAGACTTTGATAGTTATCTTAACATTCTAGATGACAAAAACATTTTTATTTTATGTAAATTTAGGGAAGGTAACCATGCGTTGCATATAGAAAAAATGGAGATGGCAAAACATTGACCGTAGTGTAAGGAAATGTAATTTATGTAATTCCGGTGATATAGGTGATGAATTTCATTATTTGTTTTGCTGTTCTCAATTGCAGAACTAACGAAAATCATTTCTTCAAAGCAAATTTTTACATAGTCCAAATATCATTGATATGTCATGTCAATTTTCTTACTGTTTTATACTAAAAAACAATAAGTTTTAAGAATGTGTTCATTCATTAAGTGTATTAATAAATAGGTTAGTCCTTCCATGTGAACGTAAAGCAACATACTGATTTCTTCATATTTAGTTTAACCGTTTATTATACAAAGTATGTCATAAAGTTGTACTTCATTTTACTTCATCTTACTGCATCTGTTTACTCTCAACTATTATATTTGTATTTTTGAAGCCGTCAATCAGATAGCTTTATGAGGGTTAAAAGGGGGGGGGGGGGGGGAGCAAAATGTTTGCCTACAAAGGGAGAGAACACAAATCATAGATATATACTTTAAGAAAACATAAATTTTCGGTCTGAAAGATGGGGCAGTACACTTTCGGTTACCCTGGATCCGCTGCTGTTATAAATTGAACTAACTCTTTTATATATTTCTTGTGTCCGAAGCGCTTTCTGGTTTATTTATTTAGTTACGATCGAACCCAAACAAGCCAAAGCCATGGATGTATAAATACGTAGAAACATTAGGAGCTATATAACCAAAAGAGACTTAATGAATAGCCAAATTTATCAACGGTTAACCGTTCCATGAGGCAGTTTCAACCTTAGTTTCCTACTGATTTCTTTATTCATCAACGGGCATTTTTTTTTTAAGAAAAAATGTGTTATAAATCATGGCATTACTAACTACTGAGCCAATGATACCCTCGTTATAAAAAGAAGAAAAAGTCGCCTGGTGTTGTAGCCCCCCCCCCTCCAAATCCCCACCCCTCAGCGCTGTGCTTGATACTTAAAATACATGAAATACCCGTAAAAATCAAAAGCGTAAATTCTTGTTATAGTGATAATCGTGCAGTTATAACTATTCTCGAAATTAACATAATCTACATCGGATACTGTTGCAGTTATAATAACTTTTCTAGAAATTAACATAATCTACATCGCATACGTCAGAGCAAATGCAATGCGATTTCTGTTATAATTAATTTTCCAAGGGGCATAACTCGTTAAAAATATTTGATCAGCACTTATTTTCGAAAGTGTCAAATTAAGACATTGCTGAAATAATCCTATGATATAAGTTTCATAAAATTCTGACAAGAATTGTCTCATGAGAGCGCTAACAATGCAATTTTCCATATAATCAATATTTCCAAGGGACATAACTCTTCTTAAAATTGATCAGCACTGATTTTCGAACTCGTCCAAGACATTGCTAATATATACCTATGATATAAATTTCATAAATATCTGACAAGAATTGCACACATCAGAGCGCTAAAGATGCAATTTTCCATATAATTAATATTCTAAGGGAATTACTCTGTTAAAAATAATTGATCGGCACTGAATTTTCGAACTCGTCTAAGACATTGCTAATATAAACCTATGATAACTTTCATAAAAATCTGGCATGATTTGTGCACATCAGAGCGCTTACGATGCAATTTTCCATATAATTAATGTTTCCAAGGGGCATAACTCTTTTAAAAACGTTACATGTGAGAGCGCTAACAAGACCTGACGGACAGACGTCTGGTATTTCCATGTCACCGGCAACGCGTTGCGCCGGGTACAATAACTATTCTAGAAATAAACATAATCTACATCGGATACTGTTGCAGTTATAATAACTTTTCTAGAAATTAACATAATCTACATCGGATACTCTTGCAGTTATAATAACTTTTCTAGAAATTAACATAATTTTCATCGGATACTCTTGCAGTTATAATAACTATTCTAGAAATTAACATAATATTCTACATCGGATATTCTTGCAGTTTATTTAGATATTAACATAATCTACATCGGACACGCTTGTAGTTATAATAACTATTCTAAAAAATAAACATAATCTACATTGCATATCACTATAAATACAATATACGTTATCAGCATAACACTGGTTACTTTGAAATCAACTACAACCTTCGTCTGAACATTGAATAAAGGGTTATACGCATGATAAAGCACCTCAAAATAGACACACCAAAAAGAAAAACCCCAGCTCAAAATGTGATTTGATATCGAGCGTACGATTCATGAAAAAGTTAGTATTAAGCTTGACAGTAACTTGCTGGACACAGTCAAATGACTATGCTGGATATAGTAAGTTCAAGGCCGTTATTCCGTGGGAAAGTCACGAAACGCCATATCACTATCTGTATAATCAAACCATGATAAACCCAAAATCGGCACAGTATCTAAAAGAATATCAGCTTTAAAAAATGTCCAGACAACAATTGGATTTTGAAAAGAAGAGAAAGCGGAAATACAGAAGGACGGAATGTTATATACTACACTAAATGCTTCGACTACACACAACAAAAACTACAGTATGAGCAATTTCAAATCCGTTTCTATTTCACTAATTAATAAAATGCTTCGCTGAGCGCAGCCTGATACGACCGCAGAGGTCGAATCCTGAACAGTTAGGGGCATTTTTGGACACAATATTCAAGCTTGATACTGTCTGAATTTTGATTGTGATTAAATTTTTGACATAATATAGGTTTCTGACACAAAATAAATGTGGTCAAAGATCTAAAAAAAATCTATTGCGCAATACTGTGCAAATGAATATTTCTTCTTGAAACTTTTCAAAAATTTGAAATTTGAAAAATCAAAAAAAAAAAAAAAAAAAAATATGAACCCCTTTAAAAAATTGGAAAAAAATTCAAACCCCCCCTGGAGCAATTACCCCCAAACTCAATCACAGCCTTCCCTTTGTAGTATGGAACCTTGTAGTACAATTTGAGAGAGATCCATACACTTAAACACAAGTTATTGTTTGGAAACTAGAAAAATTTTTGTTTTTAGCCCCTTTTTTGTCCCTAATTTCTGCATGTTTGGGGCAATTACCCCCAAACTTAATCCCAGCCTTCCCTTTGTGATATGAAACCTTGTGGTACAATGTCAGAGAGATCCATACACTTACATACAAGTTATTGTCCGGAAACTACAAAAATGCTTGTTTTTGGCCCCTTTTTGCCCCCTAATTGTTACCATAACCCCCAAATCAATCCCAACTTTCCTTTAGCGGTATTGAATCTTCTGGTAAAATTCCATAGAGATCTATTCACTTAAACTAAAGTTATTATCCGGAAACCAAATGGGTCTTCGGACGCCGACGCAGACGACGACGCAAACGACGACGACATCATAACATTATACGAACCTCAAAAAAATTTTGCGGTCGTATAAAAATAACTGAAAATGCCATTTTGGTAAGTTTTGGACTTTTACACATATTTTTTCTGGGAATGGTAAGGGTGGATCCAGGAGGGATGGGTGGGGGATAATACGTGCAAATATCAGCAGAATTAAGTATAGAAGAAGAACTAGAAGGTATAATATACTGTTTTACCGTATTCTATCTGTTTAGTATATATTCAATAGAGGGTAGAAATGCACAAGCAGACAGTACCATGCACATATTATCAGTATCTGTGACC